GATTCCGGGCTTTTTCACCTCCCCACTCTGGGCTTTTTAGTTCCTCTGGCTTAAGAGACAAGCCAGATCTCCAGGCTGCCTTCTGGGGAAGCTGGAATAGTCAGATACTGCCACCTGCTGGCAGGTTTTAGTTATGCTGGCCCCCAACAGGAGAGGGTGCCTGGTGTTAACTCATTCTAGAAATGGGTCTCACTTTAAGCTCTCCAGAGAAGGAGTCCCAGGCACTACTGTTCACAGGACCACCAGGAAGCCCCCTTCCTCCAAAAGACCCCTTAAGACCTGTCAGTGCCTGGCATTCCTCTGTAAGACTTGAGGATTCCTTTTCTCTATGGGAGAGGACGTAGGAGTTTCTAACCACTTGGCATGTGGCAGATTATTTTCTGCTCTTATGAGGTCTCAGCCAACATGAGGACACTTAGTTTGGGCAGGCAGGTCCCTCAGAGGGTGGAGAGATGGAGAAGCAGTGTATAAATAAAAGACAGGCTTAAAAAATCACAGAACCACTTTTCTCATGACTTACTGTTTTATTACTATACAAATAATATGTAGCCATTATAAATAATCACAAAATGAAAAAATTTAAAGTCATAATCCTACAATCCAGAGATAGCCTATATTAACACATAATTCTTTTATTACGTAACAGTAACCACAATAATATAGCAACATTTAAGGAATGATTATGTGCCATAGACGTACACTTTTCTTTGCAAAACATTGAAGCACATTGCCAGTATCAATTTATCTTTTATAAAACTTAACTTATTGTGAACATCTTTTTATATGATTAAATATTTTATTTTTTTAAGATTAGGTTTAGAGAAGAGAAGGGAAGGAGAGAGGGAAACATTAATGTGTGGTTGCCCCTCATGTGCCCCCTACTGGGGACCTGGCCCACAACCCAGGCACGTGCCCTAGACTGGGAATTGAACTGGCGACCCTTTGGTTCTCAGGCCAGCGCTCAATCCACTGCACCACAACAGCCAGAGCTGATTAAATATTCTTTAAAAAATTTTAAAAACTATCAAATTTGATTGTATGATTAATAGTATAATTTATCTAATTGCCTATTATTAGACAATTAGGCTGACTCTGAGTTTTTCCACATGGTTTTGAGATTGTTTTCTAAAACTTGAAGGAGTAACAAATATTTTTTGAGGCTACTGATAAGAAATTGCTAAATTGCTCTCCATTCAGAGGAAGTCTCCCTCACAAGGCAGAAGAGAAACCATTGCATCTTAGCATCATTACCTATATTTCATACGTCACGAAACATCTCTGCATCCATTATTCCTTCATAGGGGAGGTAGACAGAGCAGGCACTATAATCCCGTCTACAACACGTGGCCTCGCTGGCTGGTGGAAACTCACTGGGATCCAGGGAGGCCCCGTGACGTAGCCTGCATAACAGCTATTTCGTGCCTGAACTCAGACTGGACCTCATGCTTCCTGACTCCATGCTGCCTCTTGGACCTCATAAACAGATACTTCTTTTAGGTTTAACAGCACATTCAGGTCTTCAGGTCACTTTTCTTCTCGGACATGAGAGTGTACTGAGGACCTTCCAGACAGCTCATCACCCCACAACAAAGTCAAGCCAAGAGATGACCTTGAGCCCTACCGGGAAAGTAGTAGGAAGGCTGGGGTTGCTGTGAAAAGGGTGAGCCTGTGAGCCGCTGTACTCAGAAAAACAACTGTGTAGTCAGGTGCTTTAGTGCACCGTCTTTAAATTAAAAAGCAAATAAGTAGAAAAAGACCTAGGGTCTGGTTCCACTACATTTTAGTTGAGTAACCATTCCCCCATTCCCTCCCCTCCAAAATTCTGTTTTCTTAGTTACAATACCTAGGTAGTACAAAAGTATCTACCTCACAAGTTCATTGTTGGAATTCACTGCTATAATGATACAAATTACTTAGCAGCAATGAGCACATAGTAATGAGACAATAAATATAAAAATTGCTGCTATTATTAAGTAAATGAATAGAGTCCCGATCTATTAATAATAAGAGGTAAGAGCTAGTTCTGGCTGGGTTATATGCCCTCGTAATTTTGTTTTGTTCTTTCTGTACAAAAGTAGAGAGAAGGGATAGGAACAAAGAATCCCTTAAGATTCCCTTTGTTCTTACATGAGAAGAATCTGAGTCTCTAACATTCTAGGATTCCATTTACCTTTGAAGTGGTTGTTTTAAGATTCTATGAGATTAAGAACCTATAATTCTGAGATTCTTTTTCTGGGCTTCCAAGATCCCATGCATGACTCACTCAAACTTCTGTTGAAAGATTCCGTTTGCGTGAAAAGAAACCTCTTCTAGCCTGGCAGAAGCTTGCCTGGCTAGCTCTTACTATTCTTGTGGGTTTCTCCTTAAATAGCACTTCTTCAGAAATTCCTTCCCGATCCTTCCTCCAGCGCACTCAACCCGCCCCTTCCCATGTCTCTGCTGGAACCCTGTTCTTCCCCATCCTGACACTGTCCTAACTGGTGACCAGATGTGTGATTTGGTTGATGCCTGTCTTTGCGTTTCCATTGCTGGGTAAAGTCGGTTCTCAAAAAATAGTTGAGGAATGATAAATCAATGAATTAATGAATTCTACAGGTCAAAGATTCCATGAGCATTTATTCCCAAAGTCTACCATTCCAGATACTCCCCATCCCCTGCCCCCTGAGGATCTGAGACTACGAAGCGAGTGACCTTTCTAATTCCAAGATATTGCCTGGCCCATTTGTGCTCCGCCCCTTCTGCTCCCCTCCCCTCCCCTCCATTATTTGCCTCTTTGGAAGCCCTTAGATTAGAGAGAAGCCTGGGCTGTTTCTCTGCTGTTGAAACCAGTCTGGACCAGTTCTTTCATTTGTTCACTCATTCACTCATTCAGCAAATGCTAGGCCAGTGCCCACAAAGCTCCAGGCACAGAGCTAAGGGACTGGGACAAAGGATGAGCAAAGTAGACCTGGTCCCAGCATTCACAGACCTCACGCCCTGGAGGGCTGGATGTGGGCATTCGTGATTCGTAAGTGCTGTGGGGATGAGGAAGAACGGTGTGCTCTGGGACAACAGCATGCGAGCTAGGCCCAGGGCCTTGGGCTCGATGCCACCGTGAGGTGTTCTGTGGGACATTGAACGGGTCCTCTGTGCCCATTCTCTGGGACACCTGGACATTCTCCCTGTGAAACCTCTCCCTGGGGAACAATCAGCAAGAACTTGGGTTCAAAGTGGTGACATGCCCAGCTCCCAGTACCCCTGAGAGTATTTGCGCCCATCTGGCTGGAGGCTAAACCATTGCCTCTTGGAACCCCTTCTTACAGGACTTGGTCACTGAAAAGGGAGCTTTAGGTGCTCAACATCTTCCTTGAACAGATGAGGAAACTGAGGCCCAAAGAGAGGCAGCTGCTCAAGGTCATCCAGTGAAGTGGCAAAATGAGAACAGAACCCCAAGCTCCCCATTCTCTCTTCTTACCCATCCCCCTGACATTCTCTCTTCATACCTCCCTCCTGCCAAGAATGACCAGTAAACACATGTACACTAGAGGGAATCCTGTTTCAACCTGAAGCCAGGAGGGCTTCCCCTGCTAACTGCAGTAGTTAGAATGTAAACAAAGCTCCGCAGGACAGGAAGAGATTTATAGCTACATTTGGAGGGATATGCGCTGTAGCTGTGGTGTTTCCTTAGGTCATCTGGTGATGTGTCTGTATTGAATACCATACTTTCACTTAACAAACAACTCCAAGGAAATGTAGCTATTTGAGCCAGGAAATGCTAGTTCTTGCTCACTGCAGCTTTGTTTCCAATAGCAAAAAACTGAAGACAACCTAAATGGAAACAACCTAAAAGTCCTACTGTGGTAGATCTGAGCCACAGAATGTAGCACTTTCAAAAGTATAAAGGTAGGCCCTGGCTGGTGAGGTTCAGCAGATTGAGTGTCAGAACCAAAGGGTCGCTGGTTTGATTCCCAGTCTAGGGCACATGCCCGGGTCATGTGCCAGGTCCCCAATAGGGGGCGCTCAAGAGGCAACCATACATTGATGCTTCTCTCCCTCTCTCCCTCCTGGTAGGTCTACATAAGGGACCTGGCACACTGCTGTGTTTAAAAAAAAAAAAAAGAAGCAAATTTAAGAAAAATATGTACAGCGCCAAATCATTTTAAGCTTCATCTGTGAATTTTTTTTTTGTTTTGAGAATGAACTTTATTGACCTATTATTTACTTCAGTAAAATTTTGCTTAGAAATCCCGTCCCTTAGAGCAGGGGTTAACAAGCTCTTTCCGCCAAGGCCCAGGCAGCAAATAGTTGGGCTCCGTGGGCCACGTGTCGCAGTCATCATGCAAAGCAGCCCAGGCCGTACACACGACAGTGAGCATACCATTTTCCAATACGACTTATTTCTGAATGCAGCGATTTGAATTTCATGTAATTTTCATGTGTCACCCAGTTTTTTTTAATCACTTAAAGATGTTAAAATTATTCTTAGCTCACAGGCTATGCAAAAGCCAACGGCCAGCAGATATGGCCTGGGCGGGGGGGGTGTGTGTGTGTGTGTGTGTGTGTGTGTGTGTGTGTGATAGCCAAACCCTGCTTTAAGTCCAGTTCATGCCCCACCTCCGTTCCAGCCACGCTCACGTATTTTGTACTCAAATATTCCTGTCCTGTTCCTCCACGACCCCCCTGTGACCTTCAATGGCCCCTCCAGTTGCCTTGAAGCTCTGCCTGTCTGGCCTTGGGGACCCTCGTCTCCTGGCGGCAGGACTGTTTTTTCCTGAGCGGGGCTCTGAATAGCTCCATTCACCTTGGCAAGAGGGAATCCAGAGAAAAGAATTTTGTTTGGAGTCCTGGAGAAGCCAGGACTCAGGACTTTGATTTGCCTTTGAAATCAGGTCCCATCCCCTCCCTCCCTTTCCCAGGGGTCCTGTGCTGCTACGTTTCCTGCTTGCACCCTGCCAGCCCCGCCAGTCTGTCCCCTGCAGCAGCTACGGCCGCATCAGCATCCCTGCTCCAGGTTGCTGGCCATGGACCCCAGAGCCCTCTGCTTCCTGTTCTGTTGCCTGTTCATCTGTGTCATTTCAGGTATGGACCTCTCCTTCCATTGCGGCAAGTTGTTTTTACTCCCCTGGGATGTCCTGAGCTGTCCCCTGTCCCTCGCCCCTCCTTTCTCAGGAGTGCCCTGTTGGCAGTGTGGGGAAGGGGAATGAGCGCTGGACCCTGGTGTCAAAGCTCAAATCCTCCTCTCACTGTGCTACCTTTCCTGGGTCCTGTCTCCTCTGTGAGCTCAGCTTCTTCACTGGTACAATGACAAGGATGGGCTGCGTGAGCTTCCAAGCCCTTTCCAGAGCCAACACGCCTCTCTGATCTGAAGTCAGCGGCTATCAGTCTAAGTCTAGCAGTGACTCAGATTCGTGGGTGGTTCAAGCATCGGAACTCTGAAATTGGGCAGAATGAATCCTGGCTCCTCGGCTCACCGGCAAGCTTTGATAAAATAGTCTCTGAGGCTCAGTTTATTCAGAAGTAAAGTGGGGATAACAGTAACCTTAAAATTATGGAGTGGTTTTGAGGATTAAATGATGTGATATATATAAACGTTTGGTCTGGAGCCTTGCGCGTAAATACTCAATAAGTGGTGGCAATATTATTTTACTTGTAAAGACCCTGATTATACCTGGTCACGCCAAGATTATATAATTCCAAAAGTCTGAGTGTTTATTTCTAGGTTCTTTGACCGTAAGGGCCTATCATTTTGCTCACAAAGAGCAACCGATGGGACAACCATCAGGAGCACGGTCTGAAGAATTTCTAGCCCAGAACCTAATAGAAGACAGATCCTTAGGGGAGGAGGGGGCCCCAGGAGACTTTTCCTCCACCTCTCCACTTCCAGCCACCCCAAGGAGAGGTTGGGACTGGAATAATCTCTGCAAGAGAATAGCTGTGCTTGGAACAGGATATGGAGGGATGGTGTCATCCCAGACTTCCTCTTCCAGATGCTGCCTGGGCAATGGAGATATTCCCATGTGGTGCTATCAGATGTTCTTTAGGGAGCTTCAGATGGAAGGGAAGGGGCAGGCATCTTTCTGGTAAGAAAGCAGCAGCCTAGCAAAGGGTTGATAGTTGAAATTGGAGAGTTACTTGAAGGAGAAGTTGAGGGGTGGGGGATACTGGAGGCGATGTGATCTCAGACATTTAGAATATGGGCACTGAGAAGGATCCCTGAGAGTCGTCTAGCCGAGGGATTTTAAAACTATGCTCGTCCTGGCTGGTGTGGCTCTGTTGGTTGGGCATCATCCAGCAAGCTGAAAGGATACGGGTTCAATTTCCGGTCAGGGCACATACCTGGGTTGCAGGTTCAGTCCCCAGTTGGGGGCGTGTGCGAAAGGGAACTGATCGATAGTCCTCTCTCACATCGATGTTCCTCTCCCTCTCTTTCCCCCTCCCTTCCCCTTTCTCTGGAATCAATTAAAGAAAACAAAAATTTAAAAAACCCAACAACTATGCTCTAAGGAATAATTCTGTTGTCTTATTGCCTGTGCTGGGGTGGGAGAAAGAGGGGAAATAGTGATTGAAAACTGGATGGGTGGATTTCCAGACCCCGTCCCTTTAGTAAGAATAATGCTGTTATTATTTTTTATCATTGGCCTTTCAATATTTCAAGAGAGGGCTCTTCTATCTAGACTTTATCTATTGATTGGTTTGCTTTTACACTTGAAAAGCTTTGGTTTAGACCAACCTCTTCATTTTATAGATGCAAAAACTGGGACCTAAATACAGCAAGAACACAGGATTATAATATTAATATAACATTATTATATTAATAATGTATTACTCTTGGGCAAACTACATGACACTCAGTTTCTTCATCTGTAAAATGGGCATGTCCGTGAAAGCTTTCTGGTGGGGCTTTGTGAGTATCAGAGAAGGTACTGCATGGATAGCACTCTGCAGTGTCCAGGGGCCCAATGATTTTTACTTATGATGATGATGATGATGATCATCATCATCAGGTCCTGAAATGAAACTTGACATCTTCCTGAAGTTTGCCTAAATGACCTGTTGGCTTGGCAAACCCAGAAGCTCCAAAGCTGTCGACATCTTGCGATGGCTCCCAGGGAGCTCTGCCCACAGCCCACGGTCCTGGGAAGCAGAGCCTCCGCTAATGAAGAGGTGTTTGCAGGCACCCTGTAATCAGGGCTTGCGGTGTGCCCTGTTGGATACGGCCAGGACAGCCCCAGCTCTGCGAGCCACTCTAACCCAGCCCTTGGTCAGGTTTCAACTCCAGACCGAATAGGGTTCCAGACCCAGAATCCCCGGACTTCCTCCCACCCGCTGCTCTGACAGCAGCCTCTCATTAGGGCAATCAGAGAACCAGGGGATACTCCTGCCCTTCTTTTATCCTGCCCTCTGATTGGCTTGCTTCATGGAAGGCCTCTATGGATGTTTGGCTATTAAAACATTAGCTTTTTAGCTTTATATTTGGATTTTAAAAAATACAGTATTTGTGGCAGACTGAATAATGCGCTCCCAAAGGTGTCCACATTCTGATCCCCAGAACCTCCCATGGCAGAGAGGAGTTAAGGCTGCAGGTAGAATGAAAGTTGCTAAGCAACTGACATTAAAATAGAGTATTCTAGACTCTTCACCCAGTGTAATCATGAGCATCCTTAACAGTGAAAGAGGGAGTCAGACAAGAGAACCAGGGAGAGACGGCCGCGTGAGGAAGACTTGATCTAATTTTGCTGGTTTTGAAGATGGAGAAGTGGGGCCATAGCCAAGGAGTATGGGCAGCCTCCAGGAGCTGGAAAAGGCAAGGAAACAGGCTGTCCTGCTGACACCTTGGTTTTAGCCCAGTGAGACCCACGTGAGACTTCTGTTAGATTATGAATTTGTGTTGTTTTAAGCCACTAAGTTTGTGGCAATTTGTTATAGCAGTGACAGAAATGAATATACTATTCATGATGACTATTTATCGACTATTTTATGCCAGGCACTGTGCTAAGTGCTTCGATATATTCTCACTTAGTCTATACAGTATGGGCAGGCCTCGGGGCTATTGCGCATCTGGTTCCAGACCACCGTAATGAAGCAACTATCACAATAAAGTGAGTTGCAGTCTTCTTGCTGGTGGAGGGTTTGTAAAAGATGCAATGTCTGTGAAGCACCTTGAAGTGAAGCGCCATGAAACCAGGTATACCTGTAGCCATGCAAGGCAGGTGTTCTTGTTCTCATTTTCTACAATAAATGAAGAAAGTGTGGCTCAGGAAAATCAAGTGCCTTGGCCAAGGTCACACAGCTAGTGTGAGGCAGAGCAGAGATGGAAATCTCCAGCACCACTGGCTCTGAAATGCCTATTCCATCCACTTGTCCAGGGTCACCATCTCTTCTCTGGAGTGGCCTAGATACCGCCTCAGAGAATCTTTGTTTTTAGATGTCAAACTTCAGTGTTCTAGGTCACCTCATTAATACGCTGAGTCTAGCCGTTCTTTCTGAGGTTTGGTTTCTCAACCTGAAAAGGCGGGTAATAAACGCTCACGGGGTGGCCTTTGGGGCCATGGCAAGGGTTAAACCAGAACGGGTGCGCGCGAGTGTGTGTGTGTGTGTGTGTGTGTGTGTGTGTGTGTGTGTGGCGGGGTGTGGGGGTGGGTATTCTCTGAGAGCTGTTAAGTGCTCTTCCCATGTACAGAATTCTGAATAAACCTCACCCAAAATACCAAAACTTCTTAACATCATTGAAACACCCTTTCCCTCCATGGTGCCCCCAACCCCATCCTGTCTTCCCCGCAGCTGACCTCCAGGGGCGTGGCAGAACCACAAAGGCTCAGAAGAAGGAGAATGTCAAAGCAGCCCGCGCCGGTGGGGGGAGGCCCTCAGGAGGCCCAGGCGGGAGAAAACCCAAATCAGACGGGAGGCAGAGGTCCCTGCAGATGAAGACACCTGTGGAGGCTGCAACTCCCAGCCCACCGGCCCCCTCCATCCTGACCCAGGCGTTAGGGAGGGGTCGCTTCCAGAAGGTGGGGGACTCCCTGAGCCTGAGGGCTGGGGAGTCCCTCGAGCTGCGCTGCCAGGGAAAGGTGGTCCACTGGAGGGTGCCTGTGTACCTGGAAGAGGAGGGTGAGGGACGGCTCAGGTACGGGCTGGAGGAACTCCTGCGGCAGCCTGGATGGGTCCAGGGGTGGGCCAGTTTATTTGCACCTAGACAGTTTTTATAGGGATTAAAATAGGCCAGGACCCGCACTGGGCATCCCATTACATACAGCTACAGGCACTTAAACCGTAAAATATCCTCGCAAGACCCATCAGATGCATAGTGGTTTTACAGAATGGGAGACAGAGCTTCCCATTATAAAAACGGGTTCAAAAGATTTGTCTACGTTCTTTCAATTTAGTCTCTTAAAATGAGAATTCCGGGGACTCTGCCTCCAGCAGGTGGAAGTGCTTAGAGGGCATTTGCAGACCTGAACAAACAGGCACAAGGAAGCAGTCTAGGAGCATAAAGGAGTTTGGGGATCCCACTTACGTGTGGGATAGGCGAGCCAATCAGAAACTGTGGGTGGAGCCAATACAAAGCCGGACTTCTCCATTGGGGAAGGGGAGGCTAGGTGGGTGGGGTAGTGAAAGCTGGGCAGGGCTGTCAACCAACCAAATGCTGCCGCTAGGTGTCTCAAGCCGTCCCCGTCTCCGGCCCCCCGCGACTGTCTTTCAGAATCAGGCACTTCAAGCAGCATAGCCGGTTACAGCTGGTGAACTCCACGGGCGCAGACACGGGGGAATACAGCTGCTGGGCTCGAGCCTGCGAGGACGCCACCTGCCCGGGAGACGAGGGCCGCCTGGGAAAGACCTTCATATTCTTCACAGGTGCCCTGAAGTCAGGGTCTCTGGGGACCTCGGTGCAGGAAAGCCCTCCCAACATAACTGTCTTAACTCTTTCCCCTTAGTTCCCGCTGTAAAATGTAGCAATTGTGCGAGTGGCCCTCCAAGATCCTTCTCGTGACATTCTGGGATTCTATGGCTAATTTCATGGAGAACTGAGGAGTCCGACTCAGTTCCACCTTGGAAATAGATGCCGCTTCTAGAATCAGCTGGGTCTCCCGTTACTCCAATTCAGGCATAACAGCGATGATTACCCAATCTAGATGTTCCTGACCGTGACTCAGTGTCACCTGGAAACCTGTTAAAAACACAGATTCCTAGGCCTCGTGCCCATTAAGCCCCAAACCCTGGGGTGCCAAGTCCTGCAGGGAAGCCTTGTCTCTGGGAAGATTTGGGAACCAGCAGCCAGCGCTTTCAACCCTGGTTGCCCATGAGGGTCATTGGGGAACTTTGAAACTGCCGATTGCTCCCCCTGCAGTAAGGTCCTGATTGCCTTGGTCTGTGGGTGCTGCCGGCACTGGTTATTTCAAGAACACCTTTGGCCGATTCTAATGTTCAGCCAAAGTTAACCGTTGCATTTGTCTAGCCCTAGAGCCGCTTCATACAGAAGCCATTAACCAATGTGGCTTTTTAAATCTGAATTAATTCAAATGAAGTAAAGTTTAAAATTCAGTTCCTCAGTTGCACTAGCTACATTTGAAAAGCCCGAAAGCCACAGGAGGCTAGTGGTTGCATATTAGACAGCAAGGGTACAGAACATTCACCATCACGACGGAAAGTATTATTGGATGGCACTGCTCTAGAAAGTTGGTCCCCAGATAATTCACTGCACCATTGTGCACCCAAGAATCTGACTGGAGACTATGTTGCTAAAAGCACCTTGAAAGAGTTTGATAACTGTGTGCCTCCCCCAGGCCTGATGCCTCATATCCAGTATCCTTTTTGCTTCTCATCAGCTCTGCAAAGTAGGCCAAAATGGGATTATCACTCCTACTTGACAAAGAAGAACAAAGCCTCAGAGGAAGAAAGTGATGTGCTTATGATTGCACAGCTAGTGGGTGGCAGGATTGGGAATCACACCAGAAACCTCAACTTCAAGTTCAGTACTTCCTGTGATACTTTTCACATGGAAAGGTTCTCGGAGACCAAGCCACCTGAACCCTCTCAATGTACGAATGAAGGCACTAAAGCCCAGAGAGGAAAAGAGATTTGTTTAAGATGCACAGCAAGCTAATGACAAAAGCTGAAACCAGCAGGCTGATGTTTAGCCCCCAGCAGGCAGTGAACTTTCATTGTTTGGCTTTCATTGTACCCTTACCAGCAGGGAAAGAACATGGAGATTGGAGACGGGCAGGGAAGGTGGGACTTTAAGGCCACACAAGGGACCTCATGCTCATGAGTGGTGACAGAGCATCAGGGGACAGTAAATCTCATTCTTCTCTCTCCTCCTTCCTTCCCAGACCCAGAAGAGCTCTTTGTCCCCACAGAGAATTATTATGAAATGGTACAGTTACGCAGCCATCAACCAGTCCTGCTTCCCTGCCAGGTGACCAACCCCCAGGCCCAGGTGACGCTGCATCGAGAGTTCCCCCCAGAGGAGGTCCCAGTGGATGGGACAGATATCTCCTTTGATGTGAAGAAAGGCTTCACCATCCACCGGCCCCGAGCTTCCTTGGCTGGCTCCCTCTTCTGCTTGGCCAGCCTAGGAGGCATGAGACAAATCTCTACCAAGTACATGCTGATCTACATCAACTGTGCGTAAGCCTGGGGCACTGGGTGGGCCGGGCAGGGCAGGGGAGGATATGGGGAAGGATGCCTCCTTTGGGAGCCTTGGATTTGGGATCTGTGGATTATGGAGCTCTGAACCACCAACCACCTTTCAACAATATTCCGAGTATTCGACCATCCTGTCCAGAAATAGCCAACCAATCAGCTATTGAGCTGCCCTCCATCAGTTCAGCCTTCCTGTTCATCCACTTCTGAATCAAGTCATATTATTCCATTCATCCATCCTCCCTCAAATCAACCATTCCATTCACCCATCTTCCATTAATCAACTGTGCCATCATCTACCTTGAGTGCTATCAACTCAACCACCTCAACCATTCATCTTCTGTCAATTTCACCATTTCGCCCATTCCATTCAATCATTTTAACAATCAATTCGGTGTTTGTCCCCCTTTTTCTCCCATCTTCTCCATGGCAGACCCATCTTCATCCCCCAAACCCTCCATCCAAGCTTCGGCAACATCAGTCCGACTGGGAGAGAACTTCAGTGTGACCTGCACAGTTCTGAGTGAGCCGGAGATCGCGGTGGACTTCAGTTGGGAGTATCCAGGGCAGAAGGTGAGCAGAGGGTGAGAGGAGGCTGTATGTGTGTATGCGGTGGTGGTGTGTGGGGCAGGGTGTGGGAGTGAAGGATTAGGACGAGGGTCAGGAACAGTCACAGCAGAGTGGAACCACCAATTGACCAGGCATCTGATGAACAGCGATCCTAGTCCCAACTCTGACACTGCTCCTCTGAGTGACCGTGGGCAAGTCACTTCCCTTTTCTGGACCTCAGTTTCCTCATTTATCAAATAGAGCTACTCCTCAGGTTACTGTATAAAAATGTATAATGTGTTCCTTTGTTAATTTATCCAACAATAATTATTGATCACCCACCACATGCCAGACACTGTACTAAGAGCTGAGAATGTAATGAGGAGTCAGTAGACTGCTATCTGCGAGCTTAGAGTCTAAACAGGAAGGGGGAAGTGAACAGACGTGATCACTTGGAGAATACAGTGAGCTACATCAAGGGTAAAACAGAAATGTGATCAGCTGTACGTAAGATAGATGGGCAGGACATCTTCTTTAAGGTATAACATTCAAGCTGAGACCAAACTGGCTCAAATCACACAAAAATGGGGCTTGCTTCTGTTAGTCTTCTTACTCAAAGTTTTGTATACTTTTGTCTTTTTGTTTCGGGTAGAAGAGCTCCTTTCAACATTTCTTATAATGTAGAGCTTGTGGTAGCAAATTTCCTCAGCTTTTGTTTGCCTGGGGAAGCCTTTATTTCTCCTTCATACCTATAGGATAACTTTTTTGGATGAAATTCTTGGCTGATTTCACTCTTTCAATATTTTGAATATTTCTTTCCACCCACTCCTGTCTTGTAAGGCTCCTATTGAGAAATCTGATGATAAGCTAAGGTCTCCTTTGTAGATGACAGTCTTTTTTCCCTGGCTGCCTTGAGAAGTTTTTCTTAGTCATTGACTTCTGACAGTTTGAATAAAATGTGTCTTGGGGAAAGCCTTTTTCTGTATAATTATGTGTTCTATTAGCTCCTTCAATTCTGAATTCCAGTTCTTTCCATAGACTTGTGAAGTTCTCATCAACTATTTTGTTGAGTATGCTTTCTGTCCCCTCTCCCTTTCTTCCCCTTCTGGTATACTTATTATCCTCGGGTGCTCTTTCTAATGTAGTCAGGGAGTTCTTGTAGAGTGCTTTCATCTTTAAAAACCCTTAGTTCTCTCTCTTCCTCTTGGGTTATTCCTCGTTTCTACCTTCGAGTTCACTAATTCTCTCTTCCATCTGATCTGCTCCATTTCCAGTGCTTTCTGATGCATTCCTCACCTCACTTAATGAGTTCATCAGCCCCAGAATTTGTTTGGTTCTTTTTTGTAGTTTCAGTCTCTTTGGTAAAGTACTCCCTTTGTTCATTAACTTTATTCCTGAGCTCATTTAACTGCCTATCTGAGTTTTCTTGTATATCGCTGAGCTTCTTCATAACTGCAATCTCGAATTCTCTGTCATGTAAATCTGTCTTTCACAACTTTCAGTTGGTTTCTGGGCTTTTCCTTTTCTTTCTGTGCTCCCAAGTTTCCTTGGTTGTTTATGGTGTTTGATGGGTTGTTTCTCCATCTGAGCATTTGAGGCAGTGAACTCTTTCATTGTTTGGCTTTCATCAACTCAGCATGTTTACAGGTACGGTGCTTTCTTTTGTTTTCCAGTAGAGGTGGTATAGGACAAGTTTTTGTTTTCTCTTACCTGCACCATTTGCACGTCTGGGCTAGTGGTGGAGTAGCATCACTTAGACTGGGGAAGATGCTGCAAGCCCACTGGGATGGTGGGTCCACTCTGTGACCAGCTCTCCTCGGTTACAGGGCACCACCACTGTGGTGGGGGAATGTGGCGGGTGGAGAACAGCTTTTGGGAGCTCCCAGACCTGCCTCCTTTTCACTCATGGCCCATTCCCTGCTGTGCTTTGGGGGGCATCTCACTGCCTTTGCTGCCTCTGCTGGGATTGGTGGAGCAGGGGCAGGGGAGGCAAGTCCTTGATTCCTGTCTCCGCCCCCTGCCAGCAATGGCTGCTGGCACTGCTCTGTTGTTGTTTTAAGGCTTCCCAGAGCCTCTACCCAGCTCTGCCGCGATGGGGAAAAGAGAAGCGAGATGCTTTTTTTCTTTCCTCAGAGGGAAACTGCTTCTGCCCCTCTTACGCTCCAGGCCCTCATGTGAGGGCTGCAGCTCCACCCTTCCCCCGCTACCTGGAGTTGCAGTAGGCACCGAACTGCAACCGTTGCCACTGCCCTGTCCTTCCCCAACTGTGCTCATGCCAATACCCTGCCCTGAGATGTCCCGATGGGTGGGTCTTTCAGGAGTGTTTGTATACTGAGCGAGGGATCCTTTGAGGTATAAATGTCCAACTTGTCGTAAATTTAAGGGGAGAAACAAAGGAGTCTTGTCGCTCTGCCGTGATGGAGATGTTGCTTTAGGAATTCTTGAAAGGGCTTTCTGGAAGAGCTGGAATTTGACATGAGCCTTGGAGGGAGGGCTGGACCCAGCAAAAATGTGATGAAGGTGAGCCCGTCCCCAGAGGCTTTAGGGCATAGAAATAGTGGGGGTCATTTTCACACTTGTCAAAAGTGGAAGCTGAGACCCAACAAGGGGAAAAGAACATGCATATGGTTGGGAGACCACAGTTTCCCTCTGCCCACATTTCCCCAAACATGTTCCTTGGAATGGTAGAATACCACCCAACCCCCCAAAATGTCTTCTTAGGAAAAGCCACCTCTTAGAACCATCACCTACATTGGCGATTCAAAACCCACCTGCACACGTGACAGACGAAGTGGCCTGTCTCCCCAGTTTAACTTTGCTTGACTCAGTGTTTCCCCAGAAATTCTGCTCATGGGTCCCCCATGTCCCCCTTTGAGGAAGGAGTACCCATTAACACCCCCCCAGAACCAGATCTAGGAAGTGCTGCTCTGGGCTGCGCTACCTGCTGCCTCTCTGAGAGCAGGGAGGGACCCCAGCTGCTCTCCGGGGACTTCAGAAGCTTCACATTTTCCACAAAGAACTGGACTTTTCAGGTGCTCTGACACTGAGGTGTGGTCTTGGGCAAGTCATTTTCCCTTTCCCTGGGGATACATGGTGCCTCTCACCTGCGAGCTGCTGCCTGAGTCAGAGATGGCACTTGGGGAAGCTGACAGTTACTTTTGTGTCCTACAGCTGGGCCGGCCCCCCTACGTCAGTGAGCGGGCGGACGTGGTCCACCGCAAGGGCCAGGTGCAGCAGAAGGTGGGAAGCACCCTGTACGTGGAAGAGGCCCGGGCTGGGGACGCTGGCACCTACACCTGCCGGGCCACCAACCTTCAGGGCACTGGGACTGCCACCACCCGCATCCGTGTGATCCGAAGCCCTCGTGCCTCCCCTGCCCCTTCCTAGCTCCTTCGCTGGCTGCAGAGCAGCGGGCAGAAGCGGGAGTGGGTCACTGTGTGAACTTGGGTGTTTTTTATGCCAAGAAGGCGCCCCAGGGGGCAGAAAGAACCTCAGCCTTCATCCCTGACACTCTCCCGCCTCTGCTTTTACCCCTCGCTTCATCCTCACTGCCTCACTCCAAGCCCTGACCTGGTCTGACAGCCAGCCCCCATGCCAGCCCCGGGTGCCGAGGCTGAGCCAAGCTGGGGTCCGTGGGGCACCGGTACCGAAGGAGGGATCCCGGAAGCCACTAAGGCCCCAGGGCTTATTCCTCCAAGATGCCCACCCTGGCAGAGATCATCACGAGGACCCCTTCCACCCTCTCCCAGGAAAACACAAGAGGCCAAATGAACACTACCGGGAGCTCTATTTGGTTTCCACAGCTTGTCTGCCGCAGGGTGGGGCTCTGACCACAGCTAGCTCCTCGTGTGCGCCCCAGGCCGCATGAGGGACACCCTGCTCCCCGCAACGGGCCCCCTTTGCAGCCCAGGCCTTCCCATTAAGGCAATGGTTTCTAAAGGGTACTCTGCAGCCTCAAGGGCTCTGGCCCTTAGTCCAAGGAGTTCAGGAAATTCTGAATGCTTTGCTTCTTTCTTGGGAGTCTGCAATGGACGTTAATAGTTATTAAAGGTTCCGAGAAGCCCTGCAGTTTGCAGATCTATTTAATCGGACTGAACCTGGAGTTTCTCAAATTCCTTGGCCACCAATTCTTTTCTTGGTTTCTCCTCTTAATGTCCAATGAACCAGTGCATCCCAGACAGGCCTTGGGAAAAGTCAGGTGAAGGGTGTGTGTGAAATTCACTCCAGAGCTGCCCCCAGGCTCCTGGATGCCCTGTTTGCTCCTCTCCGGAGAAGCAGCCCCATGTTCCCCAGGCCCTGGGCAACGCCCAGAACTAGAAATGGATGAAGAAGGCAGCCTGGGACGATGCAGGAAACGTTAGCTCCAGTGGGCTAACCTTTCCTAGGTGCTCGCCCAGGGCCGGGGCTGGAGCTGGGGGCCTTGGGCAAGACCCTTTGGCTCCTATGATCTCAGCCTGCTTTGATGCTGAAGAGGGGTAAGAACCCACATGAAGGCAGTTATGCGGCTCAGAGGAGGGAGGTGTGTCTGAAGGCTCTATGCAAGGGAAGGCTGTTGTTACGGCCTCCAGCTGACCCGAAGCTTCCTGAGAAGAATCCTAAATCCACAGATGCCAGGGCTGGACAGGCCTGCTGTGGTGAGTTCCTCCAGTCACCCCTTTGCACTGTGGGGAGGCGGAGAGCCAGGTTCTAGGGGCCTGGGATCAGGGGTGGGAGGAGTTAAGGTGTGAGTAGGAGCACAGGAGAGACCGGAAGTGGGTGGGGGCCAGGTAGGGAGAGAAAGGAGGAGAAAGATTGTCATAGATCTGATCTTCCCAGAGCCTGGGGAGAAAGAAAAAGCACAAGATGACGCCTGGGTGACAGATGAGGTCCCAGTCCTGGCCTTGTGAGTCCCACTGCCCACCTAGGTTTCCTCATCTGCACAGAGGTGAGGTTCCAGCTTTGGCCGAGGAGTGCACTCAGAGCCACCAGGGGGCCCCGGTGTCCACGCGGCACTGAGGCTGAGGGACCTGGAGGGCCGAGGAGTGACCTTTGCCTGGTCTAGGAGGAGGCGCTCTGGCCATCAACCCAGGGTTGACCAGACTCTGAAACCAGAAGCGGTGGCCTGTCCGACGCCCTGCCCAGCCCCTGCTGTGGCTGGCTTGGCCCCTGGCACTGCCAGACCCAGGGGCCTCCAGTGACCTCCTCCCGGCCACTCACTTCCCCTAGTTGACCCACAGGATTTGGCCCCCTTCTTCCTGGGACACTGTAGTGACGCAGGAGTCATTTGTTCTGTCTCCCCGACCGTTTTGGAGGAGGAGTAAACTGAGGCTGAGGGAAGGCCAGGGCACAAGCGGGGTCATCTGGGGGGCAAGCTGATGAGCTGGCAGCCAAGCTGACCGAGTTAGGACCAGGAGGTCGTGCCCCCTTGGTCTCACATCAAAGCGGCACAGGCTGCCCGGACAAAGCCTCAGAACTCCCTGACTTGAACAGAGAGGGGAGGGAGGAAAGGCCTCCTCTTGCTCGTTCCCTGGGCCAACTCAGTGGAAGGCTTCCAGGGGCCTCTGAAGCCCCATGGGTGACTACGCGGCCCAAGCCCCCGGGGCTCACCGGGCACACACCCGGGCTCCCGCTGCACTCCCGCCCACGTCCCCTCCTGGGAACTGAACGAGAGGCTCCCGCTGTCTTCCCTGGAAAGTCCCGGACAGGGAGCTGTGACCACAGGTGTCGTGGCTGCTCCGGCCCGGAGGCTATGTGGCCAGGAAGGAGACCTCCGTGGGGGTGACGGAAGCCAGGGGGTAGGCGGGGGAGGCATCAGCCCCAAGGACCCGGTACAGCAGCTCCTCCTTCTCCTGCTGGAGCTGTCGCCTTAACTGCAACTCCTTCTCCAGGGCCTCGTGGGCGAGAAGCAGGTCCTCTGAGAGCTGCCTGTGGGTGCACACAGAGGCCGGGGTTCCCTTTCAGGGTCTCCAGCGACGGCAGAGCCCAACCCCTTCCTCTAGGGGGCCTTCCTCCGATGGGCCGCCAGCCTGCTCCAGGGTCCCCAACGCCCCATCCTGCCCACCTTGAACACCAGAGGCGATTTCATCTGTTGACCAAGAAGAGTGGCCCCCACAGGCAGACAGCTCTGCGTTCAAATCTGCCCCAACACTTAGCTGTGTGTCCTTGAACAAGTTATTTATTTACTCTGGTCAAACTTCAGTTCCCTCATTTGTGAAATGGGAAGGAATATAAAGGGACCCAGCTCTTAGAGTAATGAGGAGGATTAGAGGATATGAAAACTGTTCAACAAGTTATGTCTGACCCAGGATACTAGCTCTCGTTTACTAAGCCCTTAGATTCATTCATGAACATTCATTCATCTGGCCTCCTGAGCTCTATGTTTCTGGTTCCCTCTTCTCAGATTGGGCTCCCATGAAGCCCACTCAGCAGGGATGAGGACAAACAGGCACTACTAAGGGCCTTAATTTAGGTTTCTAGGCAGAGCGGGTCTCTGGGGACACCCGACTCTCAAAGAAAGAGGAGGCCCCTTCCCTGGGGAGGCCTGCGCCTGCCACTCTACCCCCCGACTGGGGCTTCTCTGGGACTCTGCACTGGAGATTTTGGTAAAAAGGGTGGGGACAAGAGGAAAGGAGGCGGGGACAGCTACCTTGACACAACCGCCTGGTTGCGGCCTCGGACGAGGAGGTCCTCATTCTCCTGTTGGAGGGTGGAGATCTTCTCCTCTAGCAGCAGGTTTTTTTCTTTCTGCAATAAATCAGAATGAGCTCAGAAAGCCACCAAACTCCCATAATGCAGTGTGCGCCATCACCTCCCTCTTATCCGTGGTCACTGAAACACTGATTCATTCTAGACCAAATGTTACATTTCATGGAGCAATAAGATGACTTAAAAAAAAAAATAAATAAAACTAAGGCATGAACAGAGGATTGCCAACTTTTATTTCTGTTACAGGAGAACATTAAAAAAAAAAAAAAAGGAATACAGCCACCCCCATCTCGTTTTGCCATCATTTCAAAAGAAAAAGGATTTTCCTGGTTTTCCAAGTCAGGGGATAATATATATATAAATGAAGTTAACTGTGTCTGTTATGCTATGCCATAGAAATGGTTGAACAAAGTTTATACGGGACATTTGAGATGGTCTGATGAAAATATACGTTGTGTGGCACACCCAGGACCAGGGAGACATCTTCCAGATCAATGTAATCTCTGTTCAGATTCAACCCCAGGTTTCCAAGGGCCCCCTTCCCCTGCAGACAAAGCCACCTGTGCCCTAATGTCCACTGCTCCCCAGGCCTGGCCTCTCATATCTGTCTGACTTTACAGCCTTCCTTAGCCCCAGCCTGACCTGTGACATCTGCCAACTCCCCCGATCAGCCGGGCTACCTGCCCTGGTGTCAGCTACATTACAGGGGCATGAGTAATAAGAAAAGTACAGGACCCAGGTGACAAGGGCCCACTGCTTGACCCAGACTGGCCAGAGACCAGCCTCAGCTGTCTCAAGGGCCAGCATAGGTGGTGGGTCTAAACTGGTGGGGGCCTCATCAGAGTGCCTATGCTCTGCACACTCTTCAGAGGAGACTCTCAGAAAGCAGAGGCCTGACCTGCCTCCCCGCAGCTGCTTCCGCCCACGTACCACTGTCTCCATGAGGATCAGCCGCTTGTCCAGCTCATGAATACGCTCATTCTTCATCTCGATGACAAAGTGCAAGCTCTCCAGCTCCTGCTCCCAGAACTGACTGGGGCTCCCGTAATCCTAGACAGGGACATGGAGTGACTTCATCAGACCAGCAGGCAGAAGGACAAGGGCTATCTCCCTCCTCCCAATTCTGCCTCCAACTCACTAGTTGACTTAACAGAAGTCCCTTCCCTGTCTTGGCCCATGGTAAGTGCTTAATATGTCTTATCTCATTCTATTCCAACAACACCCACTGAGGCATCACGGATGAGGAAACCATGGCTCAGAGAGGTTAAGTTGCTTGTGCTAAATGGTAGGTTTGCTGTTTGCACCTAGTTCTCTCTGAATCCAGAACCTGAGCACTTTACTATCCCATAATCCTCTCTCTGAGCCTTACTCCCTCCCCCGTCCCTGCCCCCCTCCCTGCCCAGTGACACAGGAACCCTGTTTCTTCCAGACCATTGTGAAGGTAAGAATGTCAAGTCTGAGCCCTGTCCTTGAAGAGGGACTGGCCTTTCCTGGGGCCTAGACCCTGACCTCCCTGGAGATTCCAAAAGGAAAGGCCTCCAGGCATACTGCCGCCTACCTGGATGTGCTTCTTATAGTCTCGGCTGAGAATGGACTCCTCTACCCTCTTCATCTTGTCCCGGAAGTCCTCCAGCTGAGAGGTCAGCGCATCTACGGTCTCCTGGGAAGGGAGCAGGAAGGAGGTGATGGAAGCCTGGTTCATGGAGGCAGAGGTGCACCTCTCCACACCCCAGAGAGAGATCAGTCTTGGTTTCTTCAGTCTGCCTTTGCTCTGCCAAACCCAACAAGGCAGGCTGCACCCACTTCAACCGCTGCTTGAAGCACACCAGTCCCACTTCTTGTTCTAAAGCTTTAACAACTCTCCACAGCCTGGGGACAATGTCCTGGCATTCAAGGCCTGTGTTACACCCAAAACAGGCTCAGTCCACGCTCCCGCTCCCAGTCTTCTCTCCCACTGCTCCCCGCCACACACCATCTCCTGCAACCAAATATCACATCACTCCTCCCACTGCAAGGTGCATTCTTTCTATTTTTTCAAGTGCATTGGCAGTCGAGTCTCTGACCATCACCATTTATCTCCACTACCCACCTCCATAGTTTTCCCCTGCCAAGACACATTCTTGTCACCATAGTTTTCCCCTGCCAAGAATTTCCTCCACCAAAACCTTGCCCATTACCTTTAGGATAGAATGCAACCCCTTAGTAGGATTCACAGGCTCCCCCCATTTGGCCCTTGTCTGCCTCTCCAGCCTCAGCTCTCGCTCCCACTCTATCCTACACCCCAGGCATCTTGGACTTTTTCTAGGTCCCCGGTCTGGGTTTTTTCCTGCCTAAGGCACCCTTCCTACTGTTCTTCATCTGAACAGTTCCAACCTATCCTCCAGGTACTGGCGTAGATCTCACCCCCTCCAGGAAATCCCTGACCAGCCCGATAGCGTCAAATGTGTTCTTTCAGGCCTCCACAGGTCCCTGTGCATCCACCACCAGTCTAATCACACAGTGGCACCTGGCCCCGTGAAGTTTCCAAGATCTCCCCAATAGTCCTTCAGAAGTAGGCCAGTGCTAATCTCAAGCCTGGTTGCCACATCAAGGGGCTTGGAGACGTGGAAGATAATCAGCTCTGTCACCGATGCCTTTGGCTGCTTTGGGGCTCCACACTGCTTTCCTGCGGGCCGTCCCCGCCTCCCCCAGAGACTGACATGGCCCAACCCCTCGCACCTGCAGGGCCTCCTTGGCCTCCTGGAAGGAGTGGGTAAGGGCTTCTTTCTCTTGCTCAAATGAGTCACGGAGGGCTGTAGGGAAAGGAGACAGAAAAGACCTCTGTGAGCTCAGACCTCCAGACACTTCACCCTAAAGCCTTCTGGCAGGTCCCATGAGGACCAGAGAGCCCCGGGGACCAGCTGGGGCCCAGAGAGGCCATGAGTTGGGAATGAATGCTCTTCTCCATCCTTCTATCTCATGGGCTTGGGTCTATGTCAGAAGTATAGTAGATATTGAATACAAGCTCATGGGAATGGAAACAAGTTATATCCCGGGAGGAACCACGAACCCTCCAAGATTGGGGTTGCCACCCACACCTTGCTGAGGCCAAGATCCAAAGATCTCGCAGCAAGCTTGTTCACCTCCAACCACAGCGAGCCACGGAAAGTACGTACGGCCAATGTTTCGTAAGCTGGGTTAGCCAAACGATGAAATCCTCAAGTCCTTAGGAAGTCTGCCTGGTCCTGATTCTGCTTGTTCAAAACTGAGAAACCTCAAGGAGATCGCCTAAAATATCTAGAAGTCCTTTTGCCTCGACTGTGCAGTGGGTCAGTAAGGCGGACCTAGTTGTCTCCCAGGCCTCTCCAGGCTGGGCCGCGCTGTGCAGAGCTGGGTTTGGCATTCCCCGGATCAATACAGTTATATTTTTCATCCCACCTCTTCTACAAAGTATCTGCTGGAAAATTCCAGCACGGAAGTGACCAATTAATGGTGGGATGGGAAAGAGGACAGAGAGGCCAGGAAAGTTTAATACAGTCAAATGTGCGGCCATAAGGGGTCTGCGTCACAGTGGGCAGTGAGCAGTGACGCAGACAAAAGAATGTGCAGTAGTACAAATGTGATGGAGGCTCATCTATATTAAAATTACAGGCTTAATTTCTTAAGGTTATGGGCCTAATTTGCCTAATTAACTTGTCCATCAAGACAAGTTCTGATCCCAGGTAAGAGGGAGGAAGCATGCCCCGTCCTCTCTGTCTAGCTGAATGTAGCTATAAAACCTGGATGGAATAAACGAAGCAGCTACTTCCAGACTCTGAAAAGTAAATGGTGGCAGGCAGACTGGGCAAGAAGACAAGAATTAGAAGTACCACTGAACCAGGAGATTTAAACAAGATCCAGAATCTCATGTAGCTCAAATATTCAAAAGGTCCAGGATACAATGCAAAATTGCCAGCATATGAATCCAAAATGGCTCAGCACACAAGTCCAAAATTGCTGAGCACACAATCCCAAACACTTAGCATACAAAGTAGTGGAGAAATCTCAACTTGCCCAGGAAAAGCAATCCAACAGATGCCAGTGCTGAGATGCCACAGAACCGTTACAGAGACTCTAAGACAGCCATTATAAAAATGCTCCATGAAGTAAGGGTGAACACTCTTCAAAAGAATGGGAAAATGCAAGTCTTAGCAAATAAACAGAAGGTATTCAGAAGAAACAAAAGGAAGTTTTAGAACTAAAAACAATGCAATAAGTGAAATAAAAACTCACTGAGTGGTCTCAATAGGAGAATAGAGATGACCTAGAAAAGAGCTAATGAAGTTGAAAATGGATCAATAGAAACTATCCAATCTGAACAACAGAGAGAAAATACTGGAAAAAATGAACAGGGCCTCTGAGACCTTTAAGGTAACCCCCAAATGTCTAACATTTGTGTCATCAGAGTCTCAGGAAGAGAAGAGTGTAGTGCAGAAAAACTATTTGCAAAAAGAATGGTTGAATGCTTCCCAAATTTAGCAAAACAAACCTACAGATTAAAGATGCTCACTGAGCCCTGGCCGGTGTGGCTCAGTAGACTGAGTGCCACCTGCAAACCCAAGGGTCGCTGGTTAGAGTCTCAGTCAGGGCACATGCCTGGGTTGCAGGCCAGGGCCCCAGTAGGGGGCGTGTGAGAGGCAACCATGCATTGATGTTTCTTTCCCTCTCTTTCTCCCCCTCTTCCCCTCTAAAAATAAGTAAGTAAAATCTTAAGAAAAAAAGATGTTCACTGGGTCTGAAACAAAGTAAACCCAAGGGAATCCACGCCCAGACACATCATTTTTGAGAAGTAATGACAAAGAAAAATCTGGAATGAAACCAGAGAAAAATAGTGTATTACTTAGAGAAAATTGTAACAGTTTGAATGACTGTGGATTTCTCATTAGAAATCTTAGTGACTAGAAGGAATAAGAACATTTTAAAACTGCTCAAATAAAATAACTATAAATCCAGAATCCTATATCCAGTGAAAATACCCTTTAGGAAAGGAGGTAAAATAGACATTCTCAGATGAAGGTGCACTAAAAGAACTCATCACCAGCAGACCTACTGCAAAAGAATTGCTCATGAAAGTCTTCAGACAGAAGACAAATGATACCCGAGGGAAACATAGAACTGCTGGGTATATGGGAAGAGCAACAGAACGGGCAAATACCTGGGTAAACATAATAGGCTAGTCTTCTTCCCTTGAGCTCTTTAAAATATGTTTGGTGGTTAGAAGCAAAAAGTGTAACGTTGTCTGATGGGGTAGTCAATGTATGTAGATGTAAGACATAGACAAGTACAAGAAAAAGTGGGAAGGACAGAGGGGCCTACAAGATGGTAAGGTTTCTACATTCTACTTGAAGTGGTAAAATATTAATTTAAGTAGATTGTTACATATATTGTGATTCTTAGAGCAATGATAACATAAACACACAGTGAAACATTAACAGTAAAAGAAACAATAGGTAAGTTAAAATAGAATATTAAAAATATTCAAATACTCCAAAAGAAAGTAGGAAAGCAAAAATAGAGGATTAAAAAACAGAGGATAGAAATCAAATACCAAAATGACAGACTTGAATTCAACCACATCAATAACAACATTAAATTAAATGGTCTAAACTTACCAAATAAAAGACAGAGAATATCTGAATGGGTTTTAAAAAAACCACTTTATTTTTTAAATTTATTAATTTGACTAAGAGAGAGAGAGAGAGAGAGATTTGTTGTTCTACCTATTTATGCCTTTATTGGTTGATTCTTCTATGTGCCCTGACCGGGGATTGAACCTGCAACCCATGGTGAATTGGGACAACACTCTAACCAACTGAGCTACCCAGTCAGGGCCTTATAAGAAACTCACTTTAAATACACATCCCAGGTAGGTTAAAAGTAAGAGGGTGGAAAGCTGGAGTGGCTATATAAATTTCAGATGAAGTACATGTGGGAATAAGGACAATTATCAGGGATAAACTACACAATGATAAAGGAGTCGATTCTCCAAGAAGACATAATAATCCTAAATGTTTATACACCTAACAATGGTTCTTCAAAATGTATGAAGCGAAAACTGATAGAACTGAAAGGAGTGACAAATACACAACAATAGTTGATATAATTATATACTATAATTATAGTATAGTATAATTCTATTCCTCAATATTCAACAGAAAAGCAGAAAACCAGTAAGAGTATAGAAAAATTGAAGGCGCCCGTGAACTAGCTTGATTTAATTGATCCATTTATAAAATATTTAGCCTAACAATAGCAAAATATGCATTCTTTTCAAGTGCACATGAAACAGTCACAAGATACACCATCCTGAGTCATGAAACAAACCTTAGCAAGTTATCAATGTATTTATAATGCTAAAAATAATATCAAAGCAGTGCTTGGAGAACAGAGCTGTTTTCCCACAATAGCCTTGTGAGGCAGGGAAGGTAGATTTTAGATGTATGGAAAGTGAACTGAGATTCAAGGTAGATTTCAGAGATACAGAAACTGAACGGAGGTCAAGTGACAGACCCAGTTTCATGGGGCATGTTAGTTTATAACAAGATCCCAAGGCAAGGGACTCGATTTCATTTCAAAACATTTTATGCTAACGTTGCAATATGTTTCAAGATTATTAAGCTTGTTCAGACCTATGTTCTAGTTATTCCATTTCTGGGAATCTAATGACATCATGTGAAATGTGGGCACATCGCTACGCAAAAGACATTTAGTGCAGTGTTGCTTGTAGTAGTTAAAACCTAGATGTCTAGACTCATGAGAAATTAGGGAAAACCACGCATGCAATGGCCTTGCCTTTATAAACATTTCAGTAGCTGCATAATTACATAGGACCATGTTTGACACAATGTTAAATGAAATGAACAAAATTTTACCTGTAAATAATCATATTTTTAAAAGATAAATAATTCTGGGGAAAGGTCATGCGAATACTGATGATTAAAGGGAAAACTGGAATAACATTTTCTAGGTTAATGTCTATAGCATCAAACATGTATGTAAACTTTTCCAAAAGACATACAAATGGCCAAAAGACACATGAAATGATGCTCAGCAACATTAGTCATTAGGGAAATGCAAATCAAAACCACAATGAGAAACCACGTTGTGCCCAATAAAATGGCAATAATAATAATAGTATCAACGACAACGGAAAATAACATGTGTTGACAAGGATGTGGTGCATTGGAACGCTTATGCATTTCCGGGGGGGAATGTAAAATGGCACAGCCACTGTGGAAAACAGCTGGCAGTTTCTTAAAAAGGTTAGCATAAAATTACCGTATGACCCAGCAATTCTAGTCCTGGGTGTACACCCAGGGGAAGTGAAAGCAGGTGTTCAAGCAGGTGCTTGTACTAGTGGCACTATTCCCAGTGGCCAGAGGGTGGAGAGAGCCCATGTGTCCATCAGCCAGTGAATGGAAACAAAGCGTGATGTCTCCACGCTAATAATAATGAAATACTATTCAGCCATAAAAAGGAGTGGAGTAAATTGTAAAATGGGCAAAACTGCAACCAAGGCATGGAGTGCAAATGCCTGCTGCAGTCCGGATGAGCCTTGGAAATATTATGCTGGGTGAGGGAAGCCATTCGAGGAGGCCACAGGTCGTATGCTTCCATTTACGTGAGTGCCCGGAATAGGCGAAGCCATGAGACAGAAAGCGCACTGGTGGTCACCGGAGGCTGGGGGTCAGGGAGGCGGGTATGTGGAGTGACCGGTGAGTGTGGGGTTTACTTTTTGGGTGATGACAGTGTTCTGGAACTGGATAGTGGTGATGGTGATGAGTGGACAGTGGTGATGAATGTGGCCAAGGTTTTACAAAACAGGGTTCACACAAAATAGTATCATTACTACGGTAGGAAGTGGCAAAAGTCTGAAACTACCTAAATGCCTAACCAAAGGGGCCCAGTTAAATGAACAAGGGTACACATGGGAGTGTTATGTTGTTATTAAAACTTATATCACAGACGTTGAATGACAAATGGTTAATACAATTCAAAGTAAAACAACAACAACAACAATTTATCTTCTCCATCTAAAGTATGTATGTGTGTACAGATTTATGTTCTAGGTATAAACAAAAAGTGAAGGGGACCTACATCTAAGGGATAGCTGACGAGTTCTGAATGGAACTGCACACACTTTTAATTTTCTCAATGATAAAATAATAATGCTAATAATTATTTGCTCAGCCTCTTGCAAAATATCAGGCACTGTTCTAAATTCTTTCTATGTAAAAATTAAATTAAATTAAATACCCTATGAACAAAGCTAACTAACTTCTTCAAGCTTACACAGCTGATAAGTGGTAGAGCTGGGATTCAAATCCAGGGCCTATGGCTGTAGAGCCTGAGATCCTAACCACTATGTTTTAAGATCTTTTTGTTTAATCTATAGATTCTAAATTTTCTATGAGGACCACATTTGGTGATGTAAGAGGAACTAAAGCTACTTGAAAAAAAAAATTCGACCTAACCAGAAATTGTAAACACTGTCATTATTATGAGGAAGAAATATGAATATTTAAAAATTCTCCTATATGTCTAGGTTTTTCAAATTTCCTTTAAGAAATAGGAATTCCTCTTTAAAAGGAAAAGAAAAACCTCCCAACTAAGGTAAAACAAGGCATGGTGTCAGACTTTTAAAGCAATGCCCCAAAGGACAAGTCCAGCCCTGCAGCAGCCAAGTGCTTATGAACCAGAGATAGGAGGGCGGGGCCAGTGGGAGCCCCGCCCACCCACTGTGAACTTGGCAGACAGTAGGAGGACCCTCCCACACCCTCCCTAGAGCAGCCTCTCCATCCTTACCTTGCAGGGCTGCTTCATGCTCTCCCTCCAGGACCCTTCGCTGCTCCTCCAGTTTCTCTTGAAGTTCTAGCTCCCTCTCCTTCTTCACCTGGGGGTGAGGGTGTAAAGCCGGCTGAGACTGAGTAGGTTCAGGTTCAGCAGAGCCTTACCTACCCATTCACTGACCCTTAGAGCTACGCGGAGCTAGGTGATCACAGTCCCCCAGCCCTCCCCCCACCAGACTGATGGAAACGTGCTCAGAGCGGGCCCAGGACCCCTGAGACACAGCAGGTGTGGCTGACTGCCTTCTCTTGGGCTTGGGGCGGGGTGGGTCCCAGAGAATTATCTAGGTGGAAAGGGATTTAGGAGTCTTCTCATTTTGAAGCCCACTCAAGGCAGGAAGCCCTTCTACTTTGTTAGTGTTTCCCCGGCTTTCTTTGCATATAATAGATATAATGAGTCACAGGCAAGCAGTTACAAATATTGGTTCAACAGGTAACTTCCCTCTTGGAAAAAAGAGTAACAGATACCACAACAATAAAATCAAAAGTTGGTTCTCTTTCTTGGAGTTTGCAAGGGGAGCTGAGCAGGAGGAAGACAGTGGTTGGGATTTACCTGTTGTGCCCATTTCTTCTTGTCCTCTTCATGCTCCTGGAGAATCCTGGTTATATCCTTCCGGCGCTGCTCAGCCTCCTCGGATGCACAGAGCTGGACAGTTGTGGCTACAGGCGAGGAAGAAAACAAAAAATTAAAAATTAAAATCATACTGAGCTGGAGTGGGGCAATCACACCAGCAGAGAGAATGTGGGAGGCTGGGGCTGAGCACCTCAGGAATGGTTTCAGCTGGGGGTCAACCTCCCCAGCAGCCCCCAAGTCTCCCTGGCTTTGCAGATCTCCTTTGGTAGAGGGGCCGGTGGTCTCGTGTTGCCCTCTGGGATCTACAGCAGGGCTGATAACTGACAAGACAGGTTCAGCCCATTTGCACTACCCAAGACACTCTCCCTCCAAAAAAATTAGTTGCTGGTATTTAATGACTGGGCAGCTTTTACTTAAGACAGATTTTTCAGCTTTTGTGAAGAAGCCAAAGAATTGGCAGTGTGTGCCTTTGTGTCAACCAGGAGCTGGGGTCAAGGAGTAGCTGTTTCCCACCCTGTCCAGGAAGCGACTCTCTTGTCTGCCGCAGTTCCCACCTCTCCTTAATGCGGTGTGGATAAAGGCGGTCACTCAGTCGTGGGCTTTACCTGCTGGGGCCTGTGAGTGTCTGACCCTCGCTTTTAGCACGTCCTCAGCCGGAAGGTGAGGCTCTGCGTGAGCAGGAAGGAGACCAAACAGGAAGTCTGGCCCTTGTTTAGGGAAAATCCAAAACAGGCCCTGCTGATGCCACTTGGAGTCTAACAGGATCCGGGAATGACCTGAGGCAGTGACCCATCCCCTCTGTGCCTCAGTTACTCAATATGGGAAATCAGGACAATAATAATACATTTCTCATGGGGTTATTGAGATAATTAAATCAGAAACAATGGCCACAGAAAAATAACAGCAGGAAAGGAATACTGAGAGCTTAGCACGCCCAGGATCATGCCCAGCTCTGTTCCAAGTGCCTCACAGGTATTACTCACATAATCCTCACAACCACTCGATGGGGTGGATACCATTATTATTTCCATTTCACAGGCGAGAAAACTGAGGGACAGAGAAATTAGGCAATTTGTCCAAGATCTCCCAGTTCACAATCAGAGAGAAGGGTATGAAGCTACACAGTCTGAATCCACAGCGAACTCTGCAAACTACTATCTTATTCGCCTGACTGCACATGAGAAGCAGCAAGGGGGTGCCGGGCATTTGGAAGTGCTCCGAGTTCTCTATTGTTCACTCCGTGGCCTCTCTATGTTCACCAGGGCTCATGGCAAAGCATTAGAGGCCAACACTAGTGCTGTTAGCATTATAACGCATGTTAGTACTATGATTACAGACCTCCCTAGGCAGGGCCTGGCAAAGGGTATGATGAGAAACGTGGGAATAGGAACTGCTGAGCGAGAAGCCAACACCGCGGTCGGTTGATCAGGACAGAGGAAGAGTGAGTCAGTGCCCTGGGTCCTGGCGGATGGCAGTGGCCGAGATCAGAGAGCCCACATCCTCACAGGTCATCGGGCTCAGGGCCCCAAACGTTTGTCCACCAGACCCGTAGCAGGCTGGCTCCAGCCGGGGAGAAGCTTATTCAAAAACTATGTCATCACGAACAGTGCAGGTTCTCCAGCCCCACTCCCAGAGATTCTGATTTCACTGGTCTGTGGTGGGGCCCCAGGAGCTGTGTCTTTGAAGTTTCCCCAGGTAATTCTTCTGTACAGAGAAACTCTGATTTCTGGTCCAATCGCTTATCTGGTACTTGAACTTCATCTACAATACCCCCGACCGCCTCCAGGTTGTAATTAAACACTTTCGGAGGTGCAGAACTCATTCTATGGCTGGGCAGGGCTGATGGTTTTACGCCAACCACCACACAAAAAAGTCCTTTGAGACTGAACTGAATTCTGCCTGCCTGCTCCTGCTACCTGGAGGCCCTGGCTCTGACCTCGGGATCACACCGTACAAGGCTTTTCTTCTCCAACGAGGGCACTTCAGACACTTGGAGAGAACTGCTGTGTTTTTATTGCAACAGCCTCTTTCCAGGTAAAACATCCTTTTCTCCTTTAACTGCTCCTTACAGGACCTGGTTTTCAGATCCGTCATAAGCCTGATTTTCCTTCACTGTACTCCTTCCAGTTTTTTTGGATTCCTCTGGAAGTGTCCTTTGCAGAGATAAACTCAGCACTCCAGGTGTGGTATCAACAGCCCGGAACACCAGTTAGGACTGTCACTTCCCTAATTTCAGACACGATACTCCTATTAATGTAACCTATCTAAAATCTCATGAGACAATTAAGTAGCGATATGGCCTTTGTTAATTACAAAGTAGAAAACCTCATGGAAGGTATTTATGGAGCAGGCTACTCACCTGCGTCCCCATTGAGGGGACCTAGTTCCTGGAGCTCTGGTCTGGGCAGCTGATCTGGTTCTTGGCGTCTCTGAAAGAAATGGCACAACAGTGAGGCGGAGGTAGAGGGTGGGAGGTCGGTGAGGAGGGATGCCGCAGCAGGCCCCTTCCAAAGGCCAGACAGGACTTCTGGTTGTGCCAGACCACTCAGGCTGCCCCCTCCCCGCCCAAGGCAGCACACCCTCTGCATGGATGGGGTTCCCAGAACAGGACCTTTTGTCGTGGCCAGGGAAACCCCCGCGAAGAATCCAATGCTGGCTGAGTGTCCCTTATATTCTTGTGGTTTGGCTCCTGCCAGAAACCACAGGGCCCTCCCCACCCTCTTCTTCCTTCTCCTGGGACTTGACCAGACTTTCAGCTTTTACCCTCATCCTAGTTATGACCTTATGGGGCCCTAAAACTTCCCAACCTTCACTTCAGACAATTCCCCTTTCTTCTCAGGGCCTGTGGCTATCACAGGTTCCAGCCAAGTTTCCCTTAAAGTTCTGTGGTGTTGGGAGCAGAGCATTAGAAGTCAAGGCCATGGTTTTACCTGCTTATTATTTACCTTCTAACAAGAAGGGGCTGCTTCCTCAACCACAAGGAGGCAGAAGCACTTACCTTGTCTCATGGGCTAAGACACTGTCATCGGGATGTGCCGGGCATTATGCTGCTGTATCTACACTAGTTAGCTAATCTTTAAAGCAACCCTGGGAAATGGGAAGGATCCCAGTTCAGAGATGAGAAGGCAGGTAAGGACCCCATCAAAGCAGATTTGGGGGTAATTGGCAGAGTCAAGTATTTGAGCCACACCTACTGGGCCCTTTCCCCAGCCTTGGTCAGTGTTGGTTGGGGCTGATTGGAGGAAGCTGATGGATGCGAAGGGCCTCCCTGACCGCAGTGTCAGCGGCTCCCAGGTTTTCAGTTTTCATAAATGACTAATATTTTTAACAGGGGAGTTGATATGGCTTGACAAGCAAGAGTGCTGGAAAAAATATTTGTAGGCTATCATTCTCATTTCATAGAGGACATTTTAACCTTCCAAAATACAGTAACGCAAACTCAAGACCACTTCTTCCAGGAATATGGAATGTTATACACATGCTCACACCTTTTATTTTCTCATTTCATCCCAGGTGAAACGAGAAAATTTGGTTAGGATCTGGCACTGACCACTGGACCAGAATTTGGGGTGAAAAAAATGTCAGCCCTTTTGTGTACTTCTCAAGATACTCTTTAAAAAATAATTAAAAAAGATAATCTAGACCCCCATTTTGAGAGACTTTACAAAATAAGTCAGCCTATAGAAAGGCTATGAAAATGTTCAATTGCGAGTTACCACTGTAAAAGAAAAACTTTAACAGATTTTAAAAAGTAATTATTAGAATAAAAATTATTAACAATTTCATGAACTCAAGAACCACTGAAATGCTGCTAGAAAGCATACTTCTGGTTGGGGAGGGAAGATAAGTGAAGAGAAGGCTTCTAGAACATTCTGCTCCTGGCACGGTGTGAGCCCCTAGCAAACTGAGGGAGGCACCATGCCTCCCCCAGGCCCTAGCGCCCCAGATCTGCTCAGTGGCTGGCCAGTCCGGCCTCCACCCTGTGAAGACTGAGCCCTCCCTTCCCAGGGGAGAGGGAGAGAGGGCTGGCCCAGGCACAAGCCAGGGAAGCTGTCAACACAGGAATCTGGGGAAGTGACAGGAGCCAGCCTCTCCACTCTGGGCTGGAGGAAGGAGGGAGATAAACATAAATGGTTGTCTCATCCCTGTTGCCACTACTGGCTACACTAATCTGGGCAATGTTTTCATGGGAGTGAGAATTCCTGAACTCCAGTCACGGCTCTTGCACGAACTTGGACAACTCCCTTTCCTCCTTTGCAAAGTGGCATCGAGGAGGTCTAATTTAACCCACGGCCCTCAGGGCATTGGAGACTGGAGTGGCCTGATCATCAACCCTGTGTTGCCCAGATCTGAATTCCAATCCTAAGCCCAGCACTGAGCGGCTGTATGAGCTCCCCATGCCTTGGTTTCCCCCTGCAGCTGGTTGAAGGATTAGAAGACATGGTGCACCTACAACACCTGGCATATTCTAAGAGTTCAAACAGTGACTAAATTTATTACTTTATGTTTGAAAAAGATGGCAAGAACACAGACTCCACTGAGCTTTGGTAGGTCTCTTAGGCTGCCATGGGCCTCGGGTTGCCTGAAATAAGATCATAAAGCTCATGAAAAATGGTCTTCTTCCCAAGATGCATCATAGAAAGGATGGAAACACTCCTTCGCTGACAGCTTCCAGACCACAGGCAGGACACGGCCTGCACCCAAGTCCCCAGATCCTGACAAAACCAGCCCCGGGATCACTCCTTCAGAATGACATTCAAGGCCTGTCATAGACTGTCCTCCGTCTACCATCCTCTTCCTCCTCTCCATTTTGTGTTTTTGAATTGAGGTAAAATAGAACATTATAGACGTTTCAGGAGTACATATTAAAATTGGATACTTGCATACACTACAAAGCGATCACCACCATAAACCTAGTTTCCACCCATCACCATGCAACTGGCCCCCTTGCCCCATTTTCCCCTCCCCCCACCCAGCCCCTTCACCTCTGGTACCCACCAACCTGTTCTCTTTATGCATGAGCTTTTTGTTTTGCTTTGTTTATTCTTTTTTTTTTTTTTTTTTTTGGTTTTATAGGTTCCACATATACGTAAAACCCTATGGTATTTACCTTTCTCCTCTGACTTATTTCACTTAGCAAAATACCTTCAAGGTCCATCCACGTTGTTGCAAATGGCAAGATTTTTTCTTCAATGGCCAGGTAGTATTCCATTTTACATTTGTGCCCTAACTTCTTTATCCAGTGGAAACTTAGGTTGTTTCCCTGTCTTGGCAATTGTAAATAATGTTGCAATGAACATAAGGGTGCAGGTATCTTTCTGAGTTAAGAGTTTCTGTATTCTTTGGATAAATATCCAGAAGTGGAATAGCTGGATCATTTCTTAGTCCTTTAATTTTCTGAGGAATCTCCACACTGTTTTCCACAGGGACTGCATCAATTTACATGCCCACAATAGTGTACAAGCGCTTTCTTTTCTCCACATCCAACTCAGGTCATTTCTTCTATTTCTGGTAATAGCCGTTCTAACAGGTATGAGCTTATATCTCACTGTGGTTTTGATTTGCATCCCCTGATAATCAGTGATGTTAAACATCTTTTCATGTGCTTGTTGGCCATCTGGAAAAATGTCTATTCAGATCCTCTGCCTTTTAATTGGGTTATTTATTTATTTTTAATTGGGTTATTTATTTGGGTTATTTATTTATTTTTATTGTTGAGTTATATGAGTCCTTTTTATACTACAACAATAAAAATAAGTAAAAATAAATAACCCAACAATAAAAATAAATAACCCAATTTTTAAATATTTAAGTTTTTAAACATTTAAATTTAAATTTTTAAATGTATAAAAATAAAAAATATTTATTTTTATTATTGAGTTATAAGTCCTTTATATATTTTAGAGCCCATTTTCTTAATGTTTAAATATTTGTAAACATCTTTTTCTAACTGTAGCCATATATATAGATATAGATACAGATATATTTATTTATTCAGCATTGAAATATATTATTTCCTTATATCTTAATTTTTCAAGTATATTATGAGCATTTACTATAGGCATTAAATATTCTGTAAAAAACATTAATTTTAATGACTCTAGGTATTATATCCTTATGGATGAATTTAATCAATAACCTACTGTTGAGTATTTAGAGCATTTCCATTTTTCAATTCCCAAATTATGCTTTAGTTAACATACTGATGTGTAAGATTTTTTTACACATCTAAAAGTAGTCACCCTACTCTCCAATAAGTTTCTAAACCAATTAACTCATCCACTCATAGCACACAAGTCCAGTTTCACTGCAACCTTGCCAACATGGAACAGAATCACTTGCTTAAAAATATTGGCAAATTAGCTGGGCTAAAACCAAACCAAAACAACCTACTGCTCCCCAGCATGTGCACCCATGCATTCAAGACCATCCCATGCTGCTCAAGATGACCCCAGCATGACATGCAGGCGTCCCTCGGAGATGCTGAGGGTTTGGTTCCAGACCAACCCAATCCAGTGAGTTGTAACCTCTTTCCTGGCGTAGGGTCTTGCCTTCAATTTGTAAAATATGCAACATCTGTGAAGCGCAATACAGCGCAGTGTGACAAAATGAGGTCTGTCTGCACAGTCGACAATTTCTCAGGCCCCCCGGCCCCCCTCATGTATCATTTCTCCTCACCTCTCCCCAGGACTGAGTTAGTTCCTGTCACCTCTAATCTTTAGGGCGTATTTGGGCACCCACGTGAGGACCTACCTGGTAACCTGTGTATCTCCTGCTAGTCCAAGGGGCTCCGGGAGAACGGGGACCATTTGCGAAACCCAACGCGGATTTGCCCCATTAGGATGCCCAGAGCAGTATTTGCAGGGATGTGGCCCATGGGCCTGCTGTATTAGAACCACATGGAGCACTGACTTAACACGGCTGCCCAGGCCCAGTTCCAGGTCTACAGAATCTGAGGGTGGAGTGTGTGCGGGGAGGCTCCAGTCTCCAGTCTCTCGGGGATCCTGGTGCTCGTAAAAACCTGAGGATGCATTGCCCAGAACTGAGTAGGCACTGATAAGCAGCCACTGCGTGGAAAATCCCCAGGTGGGGCCTTGGCTCTGGCTGCCTCCAACACAGAGGTCATGGAGCAGAGTTCGCCCTGCAGTGGGAGAGAACAGGACCTGGGAGGGAGATGACAATTTCCCGTCCAAAAGCAGTGCTGGCGGAGGCCTAGGGCAGGGGTGGGACGGCTAGATTGACCTCTGAAGAGGGACGGCAGCTGGTACCTGGGTTCCAGCTTTGCTCTGTGACTTTAGGGAAGTCCCTTTCCCTCTCTGGACCTGTTTCATTATTTGTGATGGGTCAGGTTTGGAATAGACATTCTCTGACCTGCTGAACTCCAGGACAGCCCTTCAACTAAGAAGGCTGGAAACAGGACACCTATATCTTGGTAACATGTGCAGTTTTGGGGCTCAGGTCCTCACTGTCAAGCAGATCAGAGCTCTGCTCTGGGTTCAGCCTGAAGCCAACCTGGTCTGAATAGGACGCGGCTACCCAAAGCAGACACAGAGTCAGGGTACAGTGGGAGAACAGTGTCCCGAGCTGTGGAGCCAGGTTGTTCAGGCTGGGGATGGTGGGACCCCCTAGAGAATGTTTGCACTTTGGAGGATAAACTGGCAAACTGGAATGCGTGGAAAAGGAACTGATAGGATATGGAAGGAGACCCCAAACCAAACTATAGGCCAGACTGTTAACAACAGTCTGAACAGAATCGACAGAATCTGAGGGTGGAGTGTGTGTGAACAGAACAACAGTTGGTCAGTCTCAAGAGCAATAAAAAAACCCTGGCTACCCTCTTCAAATCTCTGCAGAACTGCAGAAACTGCTAGCTTGTGGTCCATAGCCTTGGAGGGCAGGGTTGTGGCCAAGGACTAGGAGATTCAAGAAGTTTCACTACAACCTGAAGAAGGATTTCAGAACTATCCCAAACAGAGGCAGGCTGCCTTATTGGAGAGTGGCGGTAGTGAGCTCTCCATCACTGGTAGCATAAAAGGAGAGGCAGACTTCATTTTGCAGGTTGAACCGCGTGAACTCAGAGAACCCTCAACTCCAACAGTCTGTAATTCTATAAGGTATCCCTGATGTACAGCAAGTGAAGATTTCTGGTAAGCATTAAGTGTTTAGCTGGTGCAGATGGTATGTAAAAACCACCTGCATTAATAGGGCCTCAGAGGGCTCTGTTGAGTATTATTCATGTTGCAGCACTTTGGGTGAATTACCACAGTTCCATAAGAAAGCCTCCGGGGTAGACTCCTCAACTTCCCTCAAATGCCAGGCCTCACCAGGGAAGAATGAGTAAGGCAGGAGCTACTGGGATAGAAGCTGCCCAGGTCTCCCTCACCTCGGGAACCCTACCAGGACAGAAACCCTACCAGGACGGAAACCCTACCAGGACGGAAGCCCAGAGTAGCCCTAAGGATGGCTCAGCCTCTCCTGAAGACACTGACTGGGCCAACTTTGCTTCAGGGACCATAACTCCATCCCTTCTGTGGAACTCCAAGGCTTTGTCTATTTCCAACTGAGTGCTTTCATTTATGTCCTCAGTGTTAGGGCTTAGCTTACAGAATTTAGTGATCAAAGCGACGTTAAGAATTTACCTAACTCTTTCCCTGTCCCCATAAGCCACAGCCCTGGCTACCCTTGGCCACATAACTCCATCACACCCATCTTGACCCAAAAGACAGGATTGGGAGGACCCCTGGAGACAGTTTATTCCAATCCCCACCTCCTATTTCCAGATGGAAAACATGAGGCCCGGGGAGCAGAGCCTTAATGAGAATCCAGATTAAAGGTGGAGCCTGGAGTCCCTTCCGTTTCCTTAGCGCATATACAGATGGATCCAAGTAGCTCACTGTTTAGGGGACGGGTGATTCTGAGCCTCAAGGGACTCAGGTCACACACCCCTCTGCAGTATCAGAGCTGCCTTTCCGGTGTCTGGACTCAGTGTGGGTGGGGCCCTGGCCCTATTAGTTTCAGGATCTGAACAACCACAGTCAAAGCTGATTGGCTGGGGGTGGAAGCAGGAAGGAGGGGGGGGGGCGGAGGCCCCAGGGGCCCCTTCCAGGGCCTTGTGAGGAGCAAAGGCAGGGCCTAAAAGCTCAGAGCTGTTGAGAAATGTTAGCGTTCACACCCAAAGGGCCGGGGCTCAGACAGAAGAACACCCTCAACACAGGCCTCAATTTCTCCATCTCTAAGATGGGCAGAAGAATTTTGCCAAAGTAATGCCTGAATTTGATTTCATTTTCACATTATCAGGGATGTTTAAGATTTAGTTCAACTCATTCTGTTGCACAGTGCGGCATCAGCATCACCCACCACCTGTCGGGGGTACAGACCAACGTGACTATACTATCCACATAAAGGAAGCCGAGCCAGCCGGCACCACTCAGCTGTGCCAGGGGTGCCGCCTATTGTCAGAACACCTGTAGCACCCCCAGAGCACCCCGAACAGGGAGTGGAGGTGAGCAGATGTGGTCTCCAGTGCTCCCGTCTGACTGACTGATGAAGGAGACGTCAGCAGAGGACGGAACCACTCCCCTCTGAAGCACCTGCTGAGCCAGACCAGGGCACACATCGTGAAGTCCTTGTGTGCAGGGCCCAACCCCAAGTTCACAGATGGAGAGGCTGAGGCCTAGTGAAAGGCTTTCCAACAGACCATATTCCTTCGCTTCCTCCCTAGAGCCCACCTTTTCCTGTCCCCCGTTAGCTTCCTGGGGTACCTGCCAGTTCTGATCACCTTAGAGGGCCAGGAGCTGGCAAAGGACCCAGCACCATTTCTGGCATTCGGTTCAGCCTGGCAGGCAGGACCCTGAAGGAGCAGGACAGAAAACGGGGTCAGTGGCTGGGGAGGAGGAGGTCACAGATATACTGCCCAATATCTACCTGTCTCCCTAACCCAATGGCAAACTCCCCAGCGGGAGTCCAAAGTGGAGGCCCGGGCTTGCCACTTGCTCACTGTGTGACCTTGGGAGGGCATCCTCCCCTCTCTGGGCTTCTGGTTCCTCCTTCCTGTGGCAGGGAGCTGGGCAATGGGTAGGTCAGAGTCTTCCTGGTCTTGACGTGCTGCGGCTGTGGAAGAAGGGGTGGGGCGAGGTCATTCTGGCACCTCAGCCTCTATCAGTCCGGTCCTGTTCATTTGCTCTGGGCAGGACAGGCCCGGTAGTTTGACGCATGCAGCTGTCAGCCCCTGCGTGAGGAAGGCTTCTCTGGAGGACAGGAATGGAGGGGCCTTGCTCAGGAGGGCCTGGGTGGGGGTCCTGAGCCCTTCCCCCGACCCTCTGTCCTGGAGTAGCCCCATGGAGAGGAAGTAAAAGGGAAGGCCTGGAGCAGAGGATGACAGCTCAGCGGCCTGGCCACCTTCCAAGTTCCATAAGCATGCTCACCGCCGTGCAATGGCACTGCCCGCAGAGAAAGGTACCCAACAGTAAGGATGATGGCACCTACAAAGATACTCAGGGCAGAGACATTTGTAATAGGTAAACAACGGAAACTAGCCTCACATCCACAATTGGCTCGATACACTGAGGTGTATAATACTATACGATGTTACTCATATGTTTAAAAATATATGAAGTAGATCTTTACATACAAAGAGGGAAAGGTTGCTCTGGAGAGTGTGGCTCAGTTGGTTGGAGTGTTATCCCATAAAGGTTGTGTGTTCGATCCCCAGTCAGGGATTTTGTACCTAGTCACAGCATGTTTGAGAGGCAACTGATCAATGTTTCTTTCTCACATAGATGTTTCTCTCCCTCTCTCTCCCTTTCTTCCCCTCTCTCTAAAATCAATAAGCATGTCCTCAGGTGATGATTAAAAAAAAAAAAAAGGATGGTAAAGTATTTGGTAGAATATCAATATGCAAAATAAATCATTCTATTAGTACCTAAATGCACAGGAAAACATACCTAGAAAAGCACAAATGGAAGGCAGTCATCATTTCTAGAGAAAGAACTAAAATTGTGGTCAATTTGGTTTTATTTGAATCCTTAAAGTTTTTATAACAATAGTGTATTCAAGTTTTACTTGTACAAAGACATTAACAGGAAACAAATGCCTCTCTTGGAACCTTAAAGCAGCCATGGCAGTCATTGGACAGAGGAGAAAGCAAGGCCCAGAGACAGCACACCAGCTATTCGATATCACACAGCAAGTTAGCCAGAGAGGCAGAAGTAGGACCCACTCTTGACTCCCATTCCAGGCTCTTTTTTTCTGCAGGGGCTGCAGCTGCAGAAAATCCACCGTAATCCAGTATGATCTCATCTTACCTGGATTATATCCCCAAAAACCCTATTTCAAATAAGGTCATACTTATAGGTTCTGGGCGTACATGAGTTTTGGAGAGACACTACTGAGCCCAGCAGAGATAACTTGTCTGCTGTCAGGCTGCTTCCTTAACGAGGGACAGGGGTCGGGCTGCACGGGCAGCGGAGAAATGGTCAGGAGGTCTGCAAGCTTCATGGGCGCTCCGTGAACAAGAACTCCCTCTCTGGGGGGAAGAAATGCTGAAAGTAGGTCAGTCTGTACATCACTTATCTGGGGGGAAGCATGGATGGGGATGGATGTTTCATGTATTGTATGGCATTTGGCCTAGTTGTTCTGGAAGATTCAGTTTTGACAACAAAAAGGTGACACAAGATAAATGATTTTTAGGGATTAAAATTCACTTGCTGAGAGAAGTAGGATGGCTGGTCTTCAGGTAATGGACAGATTCAGATCCATCTGTGGTAAAGATGGATGGATTTCCGCTGCTCCCTCTTGTCTCCTCTCCTCCACATGGGCTCCCCTCCGCTCACCTGCCAGCCCTGCTCCCGGTCTGGCCCTGTCCTCCCAGGTGGTTTGGGAAGGTCCGCAGTGCTCTGAGGGTAGAGGACACTGAGAGGACAAAGCACAGGGCCTGGAAACCCCAAGCGCACCCCAAGTCACCAGAGCCAGGACTCGGGTCATCTGTTAGACTCTTCCTTTTATTGGGGGGGTCCCCTACTTTTTCCAAGTTGATTTTTTTAAAATCCTCACCCAAGGACATTTTTTTAAATTACTTTTTTAGAGAGAGAGGAAGGGAGAAAGAAGGGGAAAGAAACATCAGTGCGAGAGAGAAGCCTCCCATATGCGCCCGGACAGGGGATCCTACTCATCCAGACTGGGGGCTGCACGGGCCCACGCTGGTGCCCAGACCAGGGGTCGATCGGCAGCCTAGGCGTGTGCCCTGATCAGGATTGAACCTGCAGCCCTTTGGTTATCAGATGACATTCCAACCAACTGAGCCCCACCGGCCAGGGCTCCAAGGTGACTTTTTGAGCATGACCGTTCATGAATGTGATACTGCCACCCCGCAGGGCCCTTCCCGGCAGAGTCCAGGCTTTTCTTCACTAGCTGACCTAGGAACACTGAGATATCGGGGGGCAGCCCCTCCTACCAGGGCCTTACCATCTTGACTTGCCTGCCTCTCAGCAACTAATTTGAAGTTTTACCATTTCTGCCCTTTTAACAACAACCACCACCACAACAACCACCACTGCTACCACAAGTGCTAACATGAAGCTTGGGCCCCGAACTCAACACTCCGTGGAGGCAAAGACGGAGTCCTTGGGTGACTGGGGCATATCAGGCGGTCAGGGTGCCTACACTAGACACCTGGGAATTCAGCTACAAAGGAAAAGAACAGAATTAAAAACATGTACATATGCAGAACAGGTGATACCAAAGGTTGCGTCTCCGAGGCAAGGATGATTAGAAATATTTCTAATGGGTTTTATGTCACAGAGTACACAGATGTTCCTTTATAACACAGAAATCTGGTTCAACCTCTCAAGGTTTCAGAGGGCATATGTATGGAAGCCTGTATTGGGTTTAGTGGGGATGACTTTGTGTGTGGCGGGGGGGGCGGGTTATTTTCCAGGTTGGGCCAAAACCACTCAGAGGCCACGTAGACACCAATGTCCCTGCGATGTCTGGGGCCGACGGCTCCGTGCCCAGGGAAGGCAGCTTGTTTTCACAGCCCCTCACTGCCTCAGCCTTGGCACACTGAGTTAAAAACAGAGATCTGCCCTGCTCGTACTAAGCAGGCGTGAGGGGTCCAGCCTCTCATGTAGCTCGCTTGCCCTAGCCCATTGTCAAGTCCGTTCACCTCCAAACCCAGCAAAGATGCCATCTACCTCGGGAGACCTTCCCTCGTCCCCTCCTTTCCCCTCTGAATGCAAAGCCACACTACCCCAGAGTTAGGATGAAACACAAGGATGCTCATGAGTAACGTAAACACTCACGCGTCCAACTGATTAAATAAGTCACAGGACAGCCACAGAACATTAGGTGGCCAGTAAAAATCATGTCTCCATGAACTACTTGACGTGGAAAAATGCCCCAGCAAAATGCTGAGTGACTAAAATATAACCATGTAAAATAGTCACACTTGTCTATATTATATAGCAGGAAAAGAAAGACACTGAAATGCACATAGCCTATCTCTTAATGACGGGTTTAAAAGTGACTTCTAAGTTTCTTTACACTTTTCCAAATTTTTATATTCTGCCTTAAATACTGTGATAATCAGAATAACTAGATATCTTACGTGGAATCCTAAATATTTGCTAGTCCAAGGCTTGCATCCCCTCTTCTATCCTTGCCAAAATATCATCTGACCTCTACTAGAACTCCTCCAGAGATGGGGAACTCACTACCCTTCTTCCTCATAACGAGTAGAATCAGGCTTCCTTTAGCTTCCCCTCACTGACCACAATTCTACCTTCTGGAACAAGAGAACAAAGCTGCTTCTCATGCCTCTTGGCAAAACTCCAGAGGTTTGAGGGCAGTGGCCAGCCTCCAGGCTCCATGCCCCCGACCCCAACGGACTTTCAAGGACATTAATGTCCCCCTGGCTCCCACATCTCTGCTTGCTTTCCTTGGGTACAATCTGGGCAGGCATGTCCTTAAAGTATAACTATGTTTCCCTTATGCCATTACACTTCCCTCTTATCAAGGGTGTGCCGCTTGCCAGTCAGTGTACGAGGGACGAGGGACGCTATTACGCACATTCTTTCATCTAATCTTTAGAACAACCCTTGACCCAGGAGCTGATATCATCCCTATCTTACAGATGAGGAAACTGAGGCATAAAGAAGCCAAGTTCCTTCCACAGCCACTGAATAGATCTGTGATGGAGCCAGGACTGAAGCAGCCCCGAGCCCAGAGCCTCATGCGCCAAGTTAATAAACGGATAAGTGAATCCAGCCCTAAAACCCTTGCCCTCAGTTTCTCTGGTTGAGTTTCATTACTATTTACGCCCATGCAGGCTCTTCCATGTCACTCACTTCTGCATCTCTCCCTGTCTCACCTGGCCTGCTACGTGGGCGTGATCACAAAGAGCTACTGAGAGACCGACTCACTGAGAACTTGAGGCCCAGCTTTGGGAGCAGTGCTGAGCCAGGTTCTCTGTCTACGAATGTCTCTGCCTTTCACCCTGGTCAGGGCTGTGGAGCTGCGGCCAGAGCAGAAGCCCTGGGGACCATGAAATTCAGACATCACGCCGGAAGCCCGCAGAGAGGGTTGACCACGAGGTGCTAGGCGCCCCTCCCCACAGAGGGGGCTGGTAACGTGGTGGGGAAGGAAAGGCCCTGCGTACTCCCAGAACACTCCACAGGCAAGTCTACGGACACTCGTCTCCTGGGCCCTCCGCTGTCTGTCCAGCCTTCTCCTGAGTCCTCCCAAGGGACATGGCCACATCAGCCGTGGTCTTTGCCAAGACAGTGTAAGAAGGACCACGCGATGCGGACATTTCCTCAGTACCCACCCCTGGTCTTCTAGGGATCTCCATACATTCATTCATGAGGATTTCAATTTGTTCCCATAAGGCAGTGACATGGCCTCTCAATGGAGTCTGGAACAGCTGGAGAGCTGAGACCACCAGGCACTGTGACAGAACTCAGCAAACCCTCAGATCCGTGAACCTGGAGGGACTTTGGGAAGTCCTAGTGGTCAAGCCCCTGTCCCTAGGCAGGGCAGGCCCCACTGAAAGCTCTGGCCTCGTTCCTTGCTACCTGCCACCTCCAGTCTCCATGATGAGCCCCATGATACTGAGCTTTTTTCTGGTTCAGCCTTTGCTCAGGCTGTTCT